CTTGAGGTGGTGGAAACTTTCTCAGGCCACAGCCGGTGCACATAAATTCCTCATATCCCTCTCAGCTACCCATCATCCCCTTCCCCCCTCCCTAGTTTTTGTCATCCGGTGGTGAACAAGGTTTGCAAAGTGAGTTAGCCACGAGGCATGAGGCAACGGGAGCCGAGCGGGAGAGGCTGGTCTCTGAGCTGATGGAGATGGTCCTCGTTTTGGAGAATGGAGGGAGCTATTACAAGTGTGAGGTCCATCCTGTGGGATGTCATAGAAGGGAATGGAGCGGAGTGGGAGGATGACTCAGGGGCAACCTGCTGGAGGGGGGCAGGTCTGATCCAAGTCAGCTGTGTTGGGGGTGGAGAAGAATCAGAGCTGCTTGAGTCTGGCAAGGTTGCTAGAGGGCAAGATCAGCCTCAAGAGCACTGAGGAGGGGGTGGTCCTTTTTTTAATCCCCCTCCAACTCTTGTTTGACTTCTGGGGGAAGAGAGTTCCTGGCAACCTCTGAGCAAGGCAGCCTCTCCGTTGGCTGATTCTGTTTTGCTTTTCATGCAGAAATCTCACGTTATGTGCTGTGCGACTCGTCTGGAAATGGCTGGAAGCATCCGAGGTAAAGTCTTGGGTCCTGGGGTTCAGGTGGGGCGGACGCTACTGTTCTGGGTGGGGGGACAGGCTACGACGGTTGTACACTGCTGACCAGTCCCCTTCTTCTCTCCTCTCGCCTTTTGTTGTAGGACCCGAACAGAGGATCGTCCTTGTGGGCAAAACCGGAAGTGGGAAAAGTGCAACGGGAAACACAATTCTGGGAAGCAACGTCTTTCAAAGTTCGATGTCATATAAATCAGTAACAAAAGTATGTCAAAAGGAGGACACACAGCTGAACAGCAGGAAGGTTGTGGTTGTTGATACGCCTGGCTTTTTCAATACCTGTCATCCACAGAAGGATATTGCTGCAGAAGTGAGAAACTGCGTGAAGTTTTGCTCCCCGGGTCCCCACGTCATTCTGCATGTGATACGTATTGGTCGTTTCAGCCAGGAGGAGGAGGAGGAGGCTCAGCTGATCAAAGAGATTTTTGGCTTTCAAGCCAAAAATTACATCATTCTTTTGTTCACCCGCAAAGATGACCTGGAAGGTAAATCTATTGAAAATTTCATATCTGCCCATTATGGAAACAAGAAATATGTTGCTAGATGTGGGAACCGGTTCCTGGCTTTCAACAACAAGGCCGAAGGGGCGGAACGAGAGGCTCAAGTGGCCGAACTGATGACCATGATTGATCGTCTGGTGGAAATGAACAGAGACGTTCCTTATTACACGGAAGAGATGATGAACATCAACAAAAGACGCAAGTTCTGATTTTTTCTCCCTTTCCAACAGAGGTCAGAAAGTCTCTTTAATTGAGCCTCGGCTCCCAAGGTGGCAACTCTGCCAAAGGTCACAGCCCTTCCATTCTGTGTTCTAATCCAGCCTTTGCCATGTGACCTCTGAAGACCCCAAGCCAGAGATTCGCGGCTGAGTTCCACTCAACCAATTCCTTCTCTCGAGAACCCGCTTCCTCCCCTTGGATGACAGGACTTTCTTCAAGGGCACGGAAAGATCCTGCCCACCCTTCCTAGTATCAGTAGGTCCCACAGCCTAATTCTCTCCCATCCTGGACCCATGTCCCTTAGGAAGGACCAGCTCTTTGGGGCTTCCCACCTGTCTGTCCTTCGAGGTAGACCAGGCCGGGAAGCCAACAACACAAGAAATGTTAGAGCTCAACTTTACTGGGAGAGATTATCGCAGGAGAATCTGGAGAGCATCTCCCCTTCACTCCTTCTGGCACCAAAGAGCATCAAGCCAGGGCAGCCTTGAGCTTCTTTCTCACCACTTCCTGTTTTCCTGGAGTGGATTTGTCTTTTCCTAACAGCTGCCACATATTTTCCGCAAGGCTGAGTCTGTACTTCTCTACATCAGGGGTCCCCAACTCGTGGGCTGTGGACTGATACCGATCGATGGCCCACCAGGAACTGGGCTGCGCAAGTGGCCAAAGCCCCATTCCTGCATGGGTGGGATCCAGGCAGCATGTGAAACCAGGGCCCCCTGCTCCATGGAAAAACCGCCTTCCACGGAACTGGTCCCTGGTGTACAAAAGGTTGGGGGGCGCTGCTCTACACCACCTTCCAGAGGCAACACCTGGACTCACTAGGGCTGTCATGACTGTTTCAATCAGAGACCTTCTTATTAAATCTCCTCTTTCCTTACAAAAGTGTCTGTGTCTTGTGTGTGTGTGTTTATGTGTGTGTCAGGGGGACCAATGAAGCTCAGCCGAACCAGCTCTGTCTGCAATGTGATCCAAAGGCAGAGGGGAAGAGGGATGTTGTCCAATCGTCCTGGAGAGAGGAGGACATGGAATTCATGTCAGATTTTACTCGAGGGACGGGACAGAACGCAGGGTATCCCCCGTAGCTTTTCACACTGAGTCCAGGAAGGGGGTCTGTGGAAATCAGGCTCCTGCTGGGTCCTTCCCATCTCTTAGTGTCCGTCAGCTCCCCTCCAGATGCTTCTCCTCACCGACTTGCTTCTGGTCTCCTGGTCAAGCAAGAGAAAGGACACATGTCCAGCAGCCAAATTTGCAGCAGGACGTTCGTATTTGTCCTATATGACCAGCAGCTTCCTAGAGCAGGGACTGTTGGGGTTTGGGTTGTCTATCATTGTGGTAGATGAAACAGTACCTTGTTGGGCTTCCTTAAGTTCATCCAACCAGGCCCTAGCATATGCTATTCCTTAATGCTTAATGCTGGGCTGCATTAACAGAGGGATAAAATCAAGATCATGTGAAGTATTAATACCACTTTACAATGCCTTAGTAAGGCCACACTTGGAATACTGCATCCAGTGTTGGTCACCACAATGTAAAAAAGATGTTGAGACTCTAGAAAGAATACAGAGAAGAGCAACAAAGATGATTAGGGGACTGGAGGCCAAAGCATATAAGGAAAGGCTGCTGGAATTGGGTATGTCNACAATGGAGCTCTGGGTGTCCCCAGTGAGGAGGTGGAAGTCTCCACATCACTGGAGGAAGAAGATGCAAGAAACATAGCCCGCCAGTTCCTTCAGGAAAGTTCCCTGGTGGAGAAGAGACATCCGTTAGTGTTCGCCCTTCCTCTGGAGAAAGTCCCCTCAGACGCCTCCACCTCCTGTCTCATATACCAGCTTGGAAAGGAGAACCCAGAAGTGGCCAACAAAGTGATCCTGGTGATGGGAGCAACATCGTCTGGGAAAACCACACTGATCAACGGGATGATCAATTATATTCTGGGTGTCCAGTGGGGAGATAATTTCAGATTCAAACTGATGCATGAAACCACCCAGAGAAGCGAAGCTGGAAGCAGGACGTCTGAAGTCACTGTCTATGTGGTGCACCATCAGGAGGGGTTCTGGATTCCCTATTCTCTCACAATCATTGACACTCCAGGATTTGGAGGCACAAGAGACGCAGAGCAAGACAAACTGTTTAAGGAGCAGCTCCGAGAGTTTTTCTCCACCCCAGGGCCCATTGACCACATTGATGCCATCTGCTTGGTGGCACAGGCCTTCCTTGCCCATTCAATTCATACCCAGAAATGCATCCTTGATTCCATGCTCTCCCTGTTGGGAAAAGACGTCAAGGATAACATCCAGCTCCTGATCACCTTTGCAGATGGGGGAACCCCACCTGTCCTGGAGGCCCTCAAGGAGGCTGACCTGCCTTGTGATCGGGACGAGTCGGGAACCCCTCTGCACTTCAGATTCAACCATTCATCCCTCTTTACTCACGGAGAAGGTGGAGGAAGCCATAATGCTGCTGCTGAAATATACTGGAAAATGAGCACCGAGAGCATGAAGAATTTCTTTGACTCACTAATGTTGCTGGAAACCAAAAGTTTCACCTTGACCATGGCGGTCCTCAAGAAACGTCAGGAGCTGGAAGCTGCTCTTAGAAGACCTCCCCCTCCCAAGATTGAGCAAGTGCACCCAAATAGTTTCCAGATCGGTATTGACCCAGTAGCCGTTGGGAAGCCTTCAGTCTCCAGGTACCAGGTGGAATATCGGATTGCAGGCCAGAATTGGAAGAGTCTCCATACTGAAGGCCCTAAAGATCATTTCACCCTGGAAGATGTCCACCTAAATCTTCAGTACCAATTCCGATGTGCAGCTGTGACTGAATTTGGGCTCGGTCAATGGAGCGAGGAGATCACTTGCATCTATCCCAGGGGGAGGCCTGCAGAGGTAATTTGACACCTTCTTTGGAGGAAAAGGGGAGGAGGAGGAGGAGGCAGTAGAATAGGCTGATACCAGTTTTGGGTGCTCGTCACTGGTGATTTTAAAGATTTTTGGCATATGTAGCAAAGAAACTCCGGGGACATTTTTTTTACCAAGAGTTTAACTTTCCTGATAGATCCATATAGGCACAGTAGAAGCAAAGCTAATTCTCAGTTTTGGCATGAAAAGCAGCATAGCAATAATCCCCACTTTCCTCCCCGGACCACCCATTGTCCACCAATCCAGTTCAATCATTTTGTTTTGGGAAACTGTCTGCACCGCTCGAAAGATTCCCATCGTCCG